CTCCCATTTTACCCTTTTCTATCCCTCCCCCTCACTCAGTCCTCGATGCACCAACGAGCATCGTTATTTTTCAGATCTTTCACAAACGTAATTCTTTCGATTCTGCTCAAACTTGTCTCCATCAGAACGCGCCAACACAAACTCGAGAGTAAAAGGGGATCCAATGAAATCCCCAGAGGGAGACTGAATGCCAGGTTATACCTGGAAGCAAGCCCCCGATTACAGTCCTACTCAAGAAGACGGAACAACATTCGGGAGTGAGCGAGCGACCTTGGGCCATAATTCGACCATCGCACAAACCAATAGACATCCGCACGACATAAAGGCCGTCCTGTGAGAGATGCAACCGGGGGGCTCTCTCTCTCTCTACATGACAACGGGTGAAGGAGAAAGGGCAATCTTCATGGTGAGCGGTTTCCTGAAGTGTCAGACAGATAAATGATAGAACCACTCGCGAAACCTCAACGTCTGGATTTGGCCCTTCCCACTAACATGTTATTTCGCGTGCTATTCTTCCTGCGTTGGTAATAGGGTGCGTTAGATGTTACCTACGCTGTCATTTCGCTGGTAATGATGCTGCCTTGGCTATTAAAATCAGAGAAGTCAAGGTGAAATTATACTCCCATGCCAACTATCAGAGAATTACATATAATTATATACAGCACCCAGAACACCTAATTATTACGTACTATTGTATTAATGTAATTTGTATTAATGTAATTTGTATGCACTATGTAAATAATAACATTATCATTCCAAGGTGTAATCCCATAGCAAACAAAAACAGAAAGATATTGTTTCAGCTACTATCACTATTTAATTTTTAAAATAATTATACTATTATATACTATGCTATGATGATATATGATAATTATACTATGATTATACTAGTATATATTATTGTTATACTATGATAATATACTCCAACTGGACTACTAACTTTAATAAATAATGCTAAATTCGACTGCTAAACATACCTTAGTAATCTAGTAGGTCGTAAGAGAGATGCATCTATCCAGTGGCACACTGTTCAACTTCATCACATGCCTCCACACAGTCTATCTCCACTCCGCGAAAGTCGTTTCCCTCTTGGGCAGGTGCAGCATAACCTGTTGATTGGTGATTCCTTCAGGTAAGCAGCAAGCCCACACACGAGTCAGTGCGAATGATGTACACACACACACACACACACACACACACAGTCACAGGCAGACACAGCCAAGCATGTGACAAGGTTCTGTGAGCAGGATACACAACAGCGAGTCTGAGTCTATACGCGCGCACAGACGTCCTTGGTGGCACAGCAAGAGTTTGCGAGCGAATTCGAGAGCAGTGCGGTTTCGCGCGGACCGTACGATGCGTCGTCGGCGTGTGAGTGTGTGCAGCCGTGTGTTGTGTGTGCAGCCGTGTGTGAGTGTGCAGGCCGGGAGCAGCTAGACGTGCAGCGGCGGGCGTGTCACGCGCGAATGCACCGGCAGGATACAGCTAGAACCCGCACTGCAGGAATGTTGCCAGAGCAGTTTGCTGATGGCAGGTTTCGCTCAGTGCGAACTATTGTCGATGGTCAGTCACTGTAGCAAAGCTAAATAGGACCTGCACTCATAGAGCGAGTCAGATGGCAGTGGGATGCAGTAAGCGGTGGAACCCGTGCAAAGACGAACACTGAAAGGGGTAACAGTGCAGCGACGTGGGCTCCCAGTTATACAAGATGTTCTCACACTGTGTGGATGGGCGGTGAGAATGGAAAGTGTACTTCAAGCCGTGGGATTGGCATTCATAAAAGCTCCTGCCCATATGTCAATGTTACATGTGTGGTGGTATAGAATATAAGTACATAATGAGGATAGGAACCCCGTGTGGTGGTTCAACATTGGCGCGAGTGAATGCAAACAACTTCATTCATGGAGCTCCTCTCTAACGAGATTAATTATGCATACCTAAGTCACCCGTGGGTTATCTCGTAGAGCATGAGAATTTAAGTACTTGTACACCATACAGACATATGTGTACATCCTCATACACTCACGCACGCACACCCTCATTCATGTTTGTTTATATGATTGTTACTGTATTTTTAACAATGTATCATATAGTGTTTTAATTTTGAGACATCACAATCAATATTATTCCTTTTTAATATTTGTATATATTTGTATATATATATTTTTCCTATACTTCTACTATTATGATCTCACGAACACAATGTGAATTTAGTTAATTCATTTAAATACAATGTATCACAATGAATAACGAATGGCAATCCTAAAATCTAAATACCAGTCTGCTTATGAAATGTGTACTGTAACACAGCGGAACTTTTACGAATAAGTTTCTTCTACTATGCCACTACACTCGTTATTCAAATGTAAACAAAAATCTTAACACATTTACTAATCCGCTAAACGACTGCGAAATTTTTATTACCGAAATTTTTGTTAAAACTATGATGCCCCCACCATTAGCGTTTTGCTAACACGTGATAATGATTGATGATATGATAGCCTCGTAGTAGCTCTAGTAACTATAGCCTGCGGCAACCGTACGCGGGCTATAGTTACTAGAGCTAGCTAGCCTCGTAGCGTATACATCGGTAACAATACCGCCAACGGCTGAATGCGGCAGGTGAATTCCTGATTTCACCTGTACGTGGCTGGCTGGCAGCCAGCCAATTCCATAATTGACGATGACTATCTTAACTAAACGCTTGAAAACCAATCGATCCAACTACTACCGACATGTAGATTAAGTGCGTTGATCGCAAAAGTTATCAAACGTAATCCGTGTGTAAACTCACCTGCGTCGTGATGTGCTTCAACTGTTGCTACCACTACGAAATCAACATGGCAGTCTGAGCGCCGTAAGGGATAATAATACAATAGTAAATAACACCTGCATGCCACACTAAAGTCAATTAAAATTGCCGGTTACCCCATCTAGACAACTATTGCTTCAGATTTACGTTTAAACATTGGTTTGATGTATATTTAATCGTTAGATAAATAACGTCACGCTACTTTTCATGAGCACAAACTTTCTGCACGTTTTCCCAGTTGGTGGCGCCAGTGTACGGAAACAGGATCAGGAGCAATACCTATACTCTATGCCTATACTATATTACTATAGAAATATTATAGAAATAATATATAGGTTTCTATATATTTCTATGGCCTATACATTGGTAGTAAATAACTGTTTACATTCAGTGTTTTCATTTAACGTGTATGCATGCTTGCACTCACCGTACAGGTAGCAGCGTGATTCTCTTATAGATGTTCTCTACATTATTTTTTCTTCATCACAAGCTGATTTGTCGAGTCACCGGTGTTCTAGTTACAGTTGAATCACATTAAAATTTTGTTTTATTCACTCGTAATAAGATATATAAAAAAAGTTCAGATTTATTTCAAGAAGCATCTTTAATTTGAAACAAAAAACACAACGGTTCTTCTCGGCCGAATGATTTGCTCTTTTAGATGATTTTAAAAATTAAGTGAAGGAACATTGCCATTTCAGCATGACAGTCGAATGAAGAGGTCCGCAGCGCGTGAGCTGAGCGAACATGTGGAGCTGCCCGTACCCAAGGCCCCTTGCCCGTACCCAGCAGCTAGAGCGTCTGCAGCTCTCCCGCATCCACCTCTGCATGAGCGGCAGGTCAGGAGCAAGTCGCGCATCTTCCCCTCTGCGTTCTCCCAGCTCAACCATGTCAGCTGAAGTGCACGCGTTCTTTCATCGTCGACATCGTTTTTCCCCTATACACGTCAAACGGCGTGTTCCGTTATTGTCTATCCGTGTCACTGGTGTCTATCCGTCGATCTTGCCGCAGTTTCGTGAGTGTGCCCGTTCGCAGTATGTCGGATAGCATGCAGTTTGGAAATTAAATCCTCGGTCAGGTGGGACCGTCGGTAGATGTGGTTGCAGCTCGCATTGCACAAATTTATGGTGTGTGTAATCGATGGCATGTGAAGGTAACAGTGGACTGGAATTATAAACCTGAGTAATGTGTTCATTCTTTATGACACCTCATAACCTCCGAGTCAGTTAGTGCCGATAGTGTGTAGTTAAAGCTGTAGCAGCATCATCACCATGCAGCGATTGCCAGATTCGGAAAGGTTTTGTCTAGTAGATCATATGCTTTTTTATAACATTTGTGCCATAACCAGTGTTGGTTTTGCTGCATTGAATATACTGCAATGTAACGTTTTTAAAAAGCTGCATCATGTGTATTTGTGGGATCAGTTTATTTATTGCATCCGCGTTATTGTTTCATATCCACAAATTTTCATGGGATGATTTGAGATACGCCGCCCCCTTTTTGTCCCTTTAGACAGATATCTGAGACAGGGGTCTGAAAACGCACTCCGCGAAAACTGGGCGCAATCCAACAGACATTTCGGGATGGACAGAAAAATAAACATTCGAAAAGTAACTTATAGTTATTATTACTGTTACTATTGTTATTAATATAATAACATAATAACATAATATAATAACATAATAATTAAGAAACACACAACTTCCAACTGCGCCCAATACTGTTATCAATGTTATGGATGCGTAATGTATGGTTGTAACTTAGTAACGTTGAAGAAATCACACTACTGTGCTCAAATTAATACGATAGCACGCGATTCAACATTATACATTATGTAATATGTATGTGCACATCATTTCACTATTCACAATAAAGTGCAACAGATGCCAAATATCAAATCACAGCTAAAATAGGTAAGATAATGGTATCAGAAATTTTACATACATGTATACATAAATTCTTTTAATTAGCAAGGTAGTAGGTACAAAGCGGATAATAATATTCTGGATGGGGTTTCTGACCATGGTCAGGTATTTCTCCAAAAGCAAGCTACGATGATGGTACCTAGCTCAAGGCAGTCAAAATAATACATTGTAAAAAAGACCGCATCTTGAAGTTAGGGTGTGTTGTGATAATATAATGACTGTGATCGGTCCCTATTATGACATACACCTCTAAGTGGTCATTGTTAGATTTTAATCAACATTTTATTGTATTATTATATAGTACATCAGCTATTTAACTATAGACAGATCAATCTCCCGCAGACCAATTCAACCTGAGATGAGGTAACCGAGAACACTAGGAAACGTCATCGGTCACGTGACGTCTCGGGAACATTCACTGTATGTGCACTAGTAACTTCTGAGTAAGAGAATGTATATAGGCGGAATCAAGAGCTAATAATACCTCTATATATAAGGTCGTATATATAGTCTATAATTATTATAATAACGTATTATTAGCTCTTGGCGGAATGATATCTCCAACCCCCCCTATTTGTAGTCACATACAGAAGTGATATCAACCCACAAAACGATAACCAAACAATACCATCTGCATCCAGTAATAAGGCATTTATGTATGCTCGGGGATAATAATATACATTTGTTCATAGATCCACAGTAGCACACCAACAGCACGCGAATGCACACGACTCCACAAAGTTGCCCAAAGATTGAGAATGCTTTTACACTTCTATTTAGAAAAGGAAAGCATGACATCAAAAATATATAAACGGTTCTGTAAAAATTCACGAGATTTACTTTAGATAGGACAGAACCGGAGAGAATACTGAAACTCACGCATGTTTGACACGTCAGACACCCCACGATCAAAACAGTAACAACGATACTCCACCTAAAAAACCAGCCACTCAGCTCACGTTTCTCCCAAAGAGGGGTTTCTTCTACGAAATGCCACGACGAAAATAATTTCTGTTAGCGATTCCATTCACGGAATCAGTGCAACCACGACCTCCCCCCCTCCATCCCTCCCCATGAGCAAAAAAAAAACCGGCAAAAAAAAATTCGTCCATTTCGTTAACCACTATCACAAGACGAGGCCAGCAGCATCACCATAGAGATGTGAACGATAGCGCAGGGCAGGAGCTGTCCGACCGGCGACAACGCCGTACGTGCGACTGGAGCTTATAGTTCGTCGTGGGGTATGGAGTCTTCGACAAACGTTAGCAGTGCGTCAGCTGCGCGTGGACCCTGATATACCTCTACCATCCTTCCGTCGCGGAACAGCTTCAGTGTTGGGTACCCACGCACCTGCAGACGAGACAGAGAGAGATAAACTAGACGATCGCAGGGTAGCGAGAACGGCCTGCAACTTTGTCCAGTCCTCGAACGTTTTAGTCGAGAGTTGCTGTTAAATTGGCTTGTAAATTATTTAATTACGTTGGCTGACAAAATGCTCTAGGTGCGAGGCAAACTTTCGTTATCTCAGCTGACTAGCGATAAGGGAGAAGCGAAGTTCCCAGTCATCATGCGTAGTGTGGTAGGGATGGGCGTCACATGGGGGTTTCACGGATGACAATATCACGATTTGCAGTTATTTTGGACTTACATTTATTACGGTTTTACGTGATTTTTGTCAAAATATATAGGCATCTGTCCCCTTTCCCCATATATTATGTATATTTCCTTTACAAGGTGGCGCTATAATCACATGTGTAGAAAACCAACACGGGGTGGAAGTAGACATGAAGGTACAAACCTCGTGCTCTGCACACAACTCTTTATTCTGCGTGCAGTCCAGCTTGGCAATCTTAATCGTGGTTCGGTGGCTCAACTTCTCTGCTAGCTGATCCCAAATAGGTGCGAGAGTCTTGCAATGGCCACACCAGGGTGCATAGAACTTGACAAATGTGGTACCGGTGCCCACGACCGTATCGAATTCGCCAAGTGTGAGGCTCACCACTTTAGACTGTAAATAGCAGAGGCAAAAACTTACAAATCATGCACAAAGAGTGTATATCGATGCTTGCTACAACATCCAAGGCTTTACAACTTGAAACAACAGTCATATAGCATGCTATTTGGACAGAATTATTTAGGCAGCAGCGATAGTTTCAATAAAAAACCATTCACCTCTGTTTTTTCCTTTACTTCTTCCACAGGCACACTGGCTTCTTTTTCTTCAAGCTCCTCCTCGTTGTCTCCCTGCCCTGACATCTTCCGGGCGTATGCAAGAAGAGATTCCAAGGTACGACCGCCGTCATACTTTCCAGCCTAAAGAAAAATCGAATCGCACGTCATTCAAAGTAACTATGTTTGTACATTATTACATAAAAATGTCGACTAGTTCGTCACGTACAGCAACAAAATCGTTACGGACACTGGTCTCACCTCATTAACTCCATTCTCTAACCATAAGAGTGTAGGGTAGCTTCTCACGCTGAACTCTGCACATATAGTTGCATGCTCTGTACAGTCAACCTAGAAGACATGGTATATTAAACTGATAGAAATGCCTTGTGAGAGCGATAAAAATTAACCTGCATCCTTGATATATAGAATGAAATGTGAAGATTAGTTCTTCAATTAAACAAGCACAAAAACAAGCGAAAGCTTAATCATCATCATTTCGGCATTGAAATGCGTTGCTTCTGCATACAGTACATGATTAAATTCATTTCATCAGCCAACTCAATTTGGCTATCAGCATGGACACTCAAAAACACAGACACATTTATTAACACATTTACATTAACAATTTTACATTACAATAATAGAGTATTTCCCACCTTTACCGTCATACGTTTTCCCTGCTGCTTATGCTAACAATTACGTGCACACTAACCTTAGCTATGCTGACAGTCTTATCATCCTTTAACTGGGTGGCTAATTCTTGCCAGATGGGGGCCAGTCTTGTGCAGTGACCACACCATGGTGCATAGAACTTCACAAAGTGATTTCCTTCTTTCACATGTTCTTTGAAGTTTGCCTCAGTAAGTTGGTAGAGACCATCTTCTGCCTGAGGTGGCTGCACGCAGAAATATTAAGTCAGGAGTGGATAAGAGACAAAATTATTTTATTATTCATCAAATACCTACCGTTGATTAAATCAGTTGCTTAAAATGGCATGTGACTTTTTACTTCGAGCTTAATTTTCTGCATGATAAAAACCTTCACTATTAACATTTTATCCAGTCCACATGACGATAAATGCACACAGTGAGTACCGGTAACCCATTGACCTTTTCCACGGTTACGATCAGTGAGTGATTCGAAGTCTGACACGATCAATGAAGTACCTTCGCTTCTGCGGCAGCTTCCTCTTCTGCCTTAGTAGGATCAAAGTTCTTCATGCTCTGAACAAACTCTGAGAGGCTGTTGATGTCACGCCCCTTTGAGTAACGCATTACCTGAACAAAGCAACGATAGATTGATCGATTAATTGCTGACATATTACATGAATGGATTTATCATAAAATGAATTTACTCTTGTATTGTTACAAAGGTTAATGTTGCAAATACATGCACACAATACAAATCTGTGCAGATATTTGCTGGGTGAATATCGCTGCTATACATGCAACTGTAATAAAATATCTGGGATATAGAACTTACAGATTCCCCATCAACCATCCAGATAAGAGTTGGATAGCCAGAAACCTTGAATTGTGTGCATATTGGCTGGTTAGCAGTACAGTCAATCTGAAAGACAAGGTATATAACACTTTCCAGAATTGATAGTTTGTCCATTTCGGCATCTATATTCTTTAACGCATTGACTCCTTACCAATGTTACATTACCAGCCCTATTCTCCACGAGGAGAGAAGGAACTAAGAAGTAAATGTTAGAACTGAGATTACATTTGGGTACTGAAGTTTAGACTCCAATCCCTTCATCTTGCTGCCTCAAGTAACAGCAAGATGATGTAATTTCATCTCTCACCTTAGCAATAGTGACATCTTTATCTTCATCATATTTCTCAGCCAGCTGATTCCAAGTTGGAGTCAGTCTCTTGCAGTGGCCACACCATGGCGCATAGAACATGATGAAGAACTTGCCCTCGGCTATCGTCTCTTCAATTTTACTCTTCGTGAGAATGAGTAGGCCCTTTACTGGCCCCTCCTCCTGAGAATAAATAAACTCTTAGGCATTTGGCATCCGTGGCGCGTGTTTGTCGTGTGTTTTGGGGTATCGGAGTGGATGAGCAAATGATTTCGGTAACGGTTAGCAAAACAGGCGAGTAAGATTACATTAAAAGGGTTTTGGAGGGGAAGGATAGTTTACGTATAGTATAGGTAAGCACCTCATCAACTTTAGGTATCTTCTCTTGCTCTCCTGCTGGCGGGGCCTCTGCAGATTTCATCGCATTCGCGTAGGCTGTGAGCGTGCCGAAATCCCGCGGCTTCTTGTAAGTGTCCACCTGAGAAGATACCAATTATAGACTTTCAGTATCAGCGAGCATCTACGATAAGAAATGACAAGTACACAGAGAAATAAGTAGGACATTAACATTCATCCCGCAAGTACTTACTGAGCACAGGTACAGAAATATATACTGCTTACAGTAACCTAATTACTCGCTAGAATAAGATCACGACTCTAATGCATAACAAATTATTATCCATCAGATAAGTGAGCAAGTGTTACATAAACTGTGACCAAGATCCATAAATTGGCAAAGCGCTTTCGGAAAAATTTCATGTATAAGCTGTCCATCTGAGATACCGATTGTTTAAAGGGCAAAGCAGACCTTGCTGTATATTCCAAGGTACTGACAAGTGACCTATTCAACTAGGATTACTGACAGGTAGCCAATCACTGTTGCAAAAAGATGTTCTAAAAAGCAACTTGTTGTGCACTCACAAAAAAACACATAAACTGGTCTAGTTTGACCAACCTAGCAACGACGAATAAGGAGGGCTGTAGTTATTTGCTCGGGCGAATGGGTCAACTGACCAGATACTTACGACTTTGCCGTCCGCGATCCATAGTAGAGTTGGGAATCCTTGGATAGAGTAATCGCTGCACACGCTGCGGTACTGTGTGCAGTCCACCTGCATGGAGTACATTCATAACACTTAACAACGACTGTAAGCTAGTACACTCTATCACTTTATCTCACTTTACCTCTATCTAATTACATATATAAGTCATGGTTAAAGTAAATAATGATTGTTTAGCGAATAAAGGAACCCAATATAGAATAACTAGCTAAATCTGTGAGTATATGGTGCTCACTGTCATTGAACATGGTACGTTTCTCAATCGTTACCTTGGCAATCGTGACACCTCCTTCTTTCTGATAGTATTCAGCAAGCTCATCCCAGGTTGGAGCAAGCTGCTTGCAGTGGCCGCACCACGGTGCGTAGAACTTAACAAAGTGCTTTCCTTTGGCAACGTGTGCCTGTATCGTCTTGTCGGTGAGCTCCAATGTACCTGCTGCATCTTCTGCTTCGTCAGTCTTTTCCTAAAACAACAATGACACCGGTGTACACAAATGTAACTCTTGCACTGCTAGCAACGTCGCAAATCTACAGTGTAAAAGCAGACTCGTCGGTAAAATGTGATAAGAGTTTGTAATTGTGCCTGTACATCACCATGATTAGCCATATGTATAATTTAGAGGTGATAGTAAAAGCAGTGCTAATGAGTGTGTTAGTAAACAGCTAAGTATCTAATAGTATCTAAGCCAACTATTATAAGATGATCTAAATTACAGCTTGAAATAGTCGTCTTCGAATAAGTGTCAATGAAACTAAACAGGTAGATGTATATATTACACCCCCTCCCAAGTTTACAAATACGATTAAGAATAAATAGGATAGACAACAAGATTACATGTTGCATGGATATTTTGTTAATGGGCTTGCATGAGCACCTCAGCACCATGCCTGATTTTAATGGGATTATACGGGCAGGGGCAGAAACGGTCGCTAATTGATGCATAATTACACTTCATTATGCATGTAGCCATCTGTACCGTGACTATATAGACATCTTAGGTAACTGGATTTGCAACAGTAATGAGTAAAGTAACGTGATATACTCACGTATGCTATTTTCGCACCTACTTAAATAAATGATACTCTATTTTAATAAATGAGCAACACATGCTGTACTATACTCGTACATTTTTCCTGACTGGGTACCCTTTTGCTGCACGGATAATCTATCTCATAAACGTATAGCACGTAGCAGTAAACAGCTTTGTAAGCATTCATACATGCAACATATGAGCATTACACATGTATACATGTTGTGTACGAGGGCAAGACTGCAACCATACATTACTATATGCTGTCATGGCTGCCAGAGAGATCAGGCATCTAAATTCCCCATCTCTTAACTGACATTTCCATAACTCAATATGCTGGTCCCAAAAGTGTCGACTTATACGAGTTTTACTGTACTACGTTTCCGTGATCACGATCAAAATTCAGACCACAAAACTGCCAAATTCGTGAATTTTCCCTGACCTGCGGCAAATCCGGTTGGGTTTATCATACCTCTTGTTCACCCGTAGTCAAAATCATAGTAAGAAATTCTTGCAAAGATGTCAGGTCTCTGGCTCCTTTGTATCGCAAGGCCTCCTCCTCATCCGGTCGGAAGAGCTTTACCCTGTGCAAAAATAACCAATAAATTTGAAAAAGAAATTCTGATCCCCAGCCGATTCTCAATAGCATAACTATCACATTAATTCCCAGTTTTATTCCTTCTAAGTTGTCAATCGAACGTTTTTTTTCTGATACAGTGTTCAATATTCATGTATCATTGTCAATGCATGTATAATAATAATATGATCCAGAGAATGACTTATTAAAACGGCCAGCATTAGAAAGTATGATGACAAGTTCGAACTCACGTTGGATAACCGGAGACATCATGTTCCGAACAAAGAGCTGTCTCAACAGTACAGTCAACCTGAAAAGAAATGCAAAATGAATAATCTGCTTGAAAGATCCCAAAAATATCTCATGCCGGGTCAATGCAGACGCAAGGATAATAGGATGATTTTTAGGATATTTGATTCATTCTAGCTGCTATTCGTCAGGATGTGAGAGAAAAACAAGATTTGCTTTTAAACCTTACAGGCCAAGGATAGTTAATGTGGGAAAATAATGAATGCAGGAATACAAACAGTGTTATTTTATAAAACATAGCAATTTCACCCATTGGTTCTATGTTGAGCATATCAAGCTTATATAATTTTGCAGGGTGCTACAAAATTTTTTCCCACACTTGCCCGAAAAACAAATAAATACATACGATTTTTTCTATTACGAATTTAAATGGTTTCAAGAGCCCGGTTCAAAGGTAGTCACAATACAAGAAACAGCACACAAAACTTGATTCGATGAAAATCGATGAAAAGCGATGAAAATCCACACGAGCGAGTTAATTTCGGACGTTGGGATTAGAACCTATGCGAAGAGCGTCCTAATTAATGCACTTTGAGTAATTGACAGCAGTAGCCAACTGGCAGTGTTAACCTTTGAGAAGACATACGTACGGTGTAATCGGATTGAGAGTGCAGTTGGAGTCAGTAGTTTTAGAGAGCACTCATTAGAGACGTGGCCAACATAAGTAGCCTAGCTGCCTCTAGCATGCATGCATGCAGAAAAGAAGGAACCAGAAACAATTGGCAGCCAGCCAGGGGCGAGGGACTGGCCCAGGGCCCTCCACAACCAGGGGCCTCCACAACCACGTACGGGCCTCCACATATTTCATTAACAAAATTGTAAGGAAAAATGTAGGCTGACCTGAACGACACGCATGTATCAATCAAAACCATATTGCGCGCGTTTTACGTCATACATACGCAAGCCATATTGTATGATATATTATATTATAACAAAATATATTCATGCTATGACACAGCACGCAGTGTTTTAATTTTTCAAGTGTCAGTTTATTATCAAAAACCCACCTGTCACCACTCTCACAATAAATTAATAAAATATGTTCAAGTTTATTTAGGTCTGGATCGTAAGTGCAGAGAATATATAGTGGTGCATGCATGCAGATATAATAGGCGTACAAAGTATAACTGTATGCACTGATTGTTCCATTCGCATTGTTCTTTTCATTGAAATCTCGCCGCAGCAATGCAGCTTCTGTGCAAAACAATGCAAGGGACGGGTGAAAACAGAAAAATATCATTACTCTACTGTCTAGACATTCAATAAAAAAAACTTGCAATAAAGTGCAATTTCAAGCTACTTGCCCGGGGGCGAATTTTGGTTGCCACGGGCCATCGGGCAAGCGGGTTTGTCGCGCCCTGCTTATGGGGAAAGGTTGTGAGCCTCTCCCCACAACCAGTGGCTATATCCAATATAACTGGAAATGACTTATTCATGCAACCAAGAACCGGAATAATCCATGTGTGTGGTGATAAAACCAGTTGTGCGAAGACAAATCGGAAATCAGGTACAGCGAAGAAAATGTTATTGTCACTTACCTTTGCGATGACTACCTCAGGGTTGTCCTTCTCCAGGTAACTCTCGGCAAGTTTATCGAACGTGGGTGCTAACTTCTTGCAGTGCCCACACCTACAGAAATTATCATGCATTTCTAAGGTTTTTCATCGCAAGTTTGGCGAGAAAAAAAGGTGTATACATGCTATAGTGATGGTGGCATTTGGTTTCTTTTTCACAACTGATTATTGCTACCATAGATCAAACTGATTATCAATTAATATCAGTTTTTGTCAGTAATTTAAACGAAGGTGAAGTTTTTCTTTAATATCCACTACATGATTTTGTTTGTTTGGAAATATGTTCTCACATCTATATTTTTGGGAGGTCTGTATTTTTCAGAAAACATTTTATTGTGTAATCTGTCATTTTTCTATAATCCACTATACACCCGAGTGATGAGATATGTTCGTGGTGACATCCAGTTAATTACCACATGTATGCATTAATGATCGGAAAACCATTGTTATACAATCTACATGTAGTTTATGTCATGACCATATTGTATTAATTTGAGGCTGAAAAGTCACTATCGATTTTGCAACGTCATGCCAGTCAAGGAATGTTGTGTTACGCATGGGGTAGGGAAACAGCTAGGTTTTCAGGGTAAAGCCATGTTGCATAGAGCCACGTTAGCTTAGATTCCTATGTCGACTTGCATAGAACCATATGTTCCAAAATGATGTATATGCCTAAAAACTGGTTTACAAACTAATAACCTCTAAATAATCACAATAACAATTTGGTTTTTAAATTCAGGGCTGTGGTCTGTGTTGCTGATTTCAGATAAGAAATGACAAGAGCAATGTCTTCGAATTGACCAAATTTACCCGTGTATGATGATGACATGTGTAGTTGTCTACAATTGGTACAACCCCTCCCAGGACCTCCCGCATACGTCCACAAACAACATATCATCTGAAATTCCTGGGAAGGACCCCGCTTATTTATACATGCATTCATAATTATATAAAACTACAGTGTGGCCCCGTTATAACGCGATCGTTGGGGTCCATAAAATGTCATCGCGAAAAAAGCAGGGTCGCGCTAAATCAGGGTTCAAGAAAATTAGTGTATAAACTGACCGAATGTTGACCTAACAATGTTGAGCGAACAATGTGAATAAAACAATTAATGCATACAGTCATATACAAAACATGCACACAGCAACAAGTCACATAAACTCATTTAGTTGTGCGATCTATAGGCGATCGTCGATTCAACCTAAGGCCGGCTTAACTCACCAAAAAACTTGTCAGTTCCAGAAAGAGCAAAAAAAAGTCCAATGACTCATCGCGTTATATCCGAATTCACGTTAAATCGGGCCGCGTAAAATCAGAGTTTCACTGCACAAACATGTTCATGCTATAATGCATTAATTTTGTGTGTGCTCTACTCAGTTTCCCACCTTCCACCTTTTCTAACTGTGACCGCCTCCCCTTCTCCAACTCTTCCATACACATGATACATACATGTATATACGATGTACAGCCTACAGGCTCATAGTATTATCGTATTCTAGCTGTTGGGTGCGGTGCACTACGCTAAGAGTAAGATTCTAATCTGTTGGGGTCAGCAGGAGTCACCACTGTGAGCAGTTGGAGGGATGGATCGTTCCAGGATTATCATTATGTGCCAATCCTAAACACGGTGGCGATGCAAATTTAACCCAGATCATGAATCTAGCCATCGGTCAAACCACACCCATAACATATATTATACTAGGCTTAGTAGGTGTAACCTATATGGTTACTACAACTACTACCACTACCAGTACCACTACTGCAGTGCTACGGCAGTTACAGTTTTACTATTTAGTATTTACTATTTAGACTACTGCTTCCTGGCATCCCAAACGTCAACACAGATACTTACCAGGTAGCCACAAGTTCCCTTTTCGCTTAACACTATGTTGGCGAGAGGGTCACAAGCTGGCGCAAGAGAACCGCATTCGGCATGACGTGCGCTTCTACTTCTACTTCTATACTGGACAGTCCGTAAGGAATAAACGTCCAGGGAGTGCGCGAAAACTCCAGGTGCACGTGAGAGATTTGCATGGAATATTTTTAAAATGTAGGCAGTAATGTGTTCCAGAGATCGAGGCTTCTCTGAGCCAGGCACTTATTACTGAGTGTGACTAGCATACGGCAATAGGCTGTTGCGAGCTGTTAATAATTGCGCTACTATTAAACGTAAAATTATCCAACTTTTTATGATTCTTATCGCTTCTCTGTACTTCCACGCCTCGATTTATTATATGTGCGCTATCACTGAGTATGTATTTAGGAAATTTTATGAAATTCGGAGTTTGTTTTCAAGCAACCAGGTATTTCGGTTCACAGGCACTTGAAGCGTTTCAATAAAATATAATGCTAACTAAATACGAAATCTATTTACTACAAAATTCTTAATGTTTCTATAGGCCTACTCTCTTTCACCTATTATTGCCGATAGTTTCCTACCATTGCATTACTGGCTGCCATTGCTCTCGCGGCGCGACTGTTGCACGCTTACACTAATATATAGAGCAGCGGCGCAACTGTTGCACGCTTACACTAATATATAGAGCAGGTAAGAAAGCGCGATCCCAAAATTCGCTCGACGCTCGCTGCATTTCACACGATTTCAACACAAATACACATCCAACAGCTTCTATCTTTGTTTCTCCTTCAAGAACAGTGTTCACTTGTTATAAAAATATAATGTCGCTGTTCGTAACCGAGCTGTGTCACGCGAAATCCCACAGAGACTCTTGCGTTCACTAGCACTGCGCACTGGATGTTACGAACTCAAGTACATGGCTAAAGGCGGTGCGCTGCATTTTGGGTGCAAAATTGCAATCGGCGTACGGGCCGCATTAGCAGCGCATGCATTTTGCATGCGATCTCACGAAATTTCAATGAACCGCGTTCTGTCCCAATATAACCCTTACCAAAATATAAAAAAGGTTATATGGGACAGAATTATTCGGTCTACTGCGGCTACAGACGCATCTATTGACTATATATAACAACTTTATAGTTGTTATATATAGTCAATAGAATGATGCGTGTGTGCTGTAGCTGCAGGTGCGGACTTGTTCTTGCTGCCAGTGCCTACGACGTGTAACAGTGACAGTCGGAGAGCCTGGTCGGTTTACTTACCAGGGTGCATAAAACATAATAAAGTGAGGTTTGGACCAGATCTGTTTCGTGAAATCCTCCGCTGTGAAACTCGGGCAAATTGTTCCATGCTCATCGTCCGTCAATGCCGTACAACCAAAGAACAACACAGTTACGGTAAGGGTGAAAACAATGTTATACATCTTGAAATAAGGAACACGGCCTCACACCGACGTCGACAGTAAGAAGATAGAGAAGAGACACCGGATGCTCACTAAAGCCAAGCCGGATACGGATCACACGTGGCGCTGTTTGGGATTATATGCGCATGCGTACACTAACGAAGGACCTGACAGGTCGTCGACCGTAGATATTTAGCGCAAATATTGAAATATAATTTAACATACGGCATGTTGCCCGACATGATACATGTGTAATATATATGTATGTGTGTAATAGCTAAGACAATTATGATTCAAATGTTTATATTTGCAAATCTTTTTGCAAAACGGAGACGGAGTTTGTATCATAGCAAGAGCAGATAATACACATGTGTATTATCTGCTCTTGATCATAGCAATAGATAGACAATGTTGTACCCCCTGTCGGTCCCCAATGCCGATATCTACACAATTTTTCACGCTAGATAGCGCCACGCATCTTCCTCTTTGAATAGTGCGTTCGATTTGCTTCCCCAAGTTAACCTGGGTCTACTCGGGCCAGCCCCAAATTCGTTCGNGGGATGCAAAACGCATATCCGTCCCCCCACCAACAGCATACGAAGGCGCCCCACCCTCACGATGGGCACCCATTACATCCCCCTCACGGCGAGAATACAACGCATCACCCTCACGTTGAGACAATAACGGAACGCCCTCAGGGTGTCCGATTTCTCGCAGATTACTTGCTCGCCTCGTGCGAGTAGAATAAGGGTCCTCCTCAGCCCACGTAGAATTACGCATGACGCGCGGCGCAGGGCTAACAGTAGCCCGACCCACCGACGGCGACCAATTAGCGCGTTCAGTTGCTGCCTCGTCGAGATCAATAATACACGAGAATGAATCACGTCGACGAGGGGGAGTTCTACTCAACTCCCTACCCTTACTCGGGGTCAAGGATGTTGGCGGAGTTAACTCATTATCCTCCACCATCCCCCTCACGGCACCAGTTGT